GAATGCAATTTGGCCTTACTTGGCACAGACAAAATATCTGTTTTATAATAAAAATTTTGGTTGAGTTCTTTCTTGATGCTTTCATCCAGTGGATATATTTATAAAAACATACTGGAACACGAAGAAATCTCTGAGTTTACAAGAATTACACTGAAATCCATTTTGGTTACTTACACCCTCTTTAGCAGCAGAGGCAATTTTGCTTGCTCCAGTTGTGAAACTGCTCCATCCCTTGAAAGAAAGTGAGAATGTTGTAAGCTCTGTGTGAATATAACAGTGAATAACCAAGTGCTCAGTAATAAATTATTACTGAGTGTTAAATTACAGTGTCAAATTAAGTAAAAATATTCTCCAACACAGCTTGTCCTGTAGTCAGAACTACTATTAAACTAGTAAGAGTTATAGTTTCCTAACTACTGATTGTCAGATGCTGACTAAGGAAACAGCTAAAAGGAAGTGGAGTGGGAGAGTGATTCAAATAATTTTGGATTTTTTTTTAAACAAAATCATTAAAAATCACTTTATAACTGTTTAGGTTTCAGTGTTATAAATGCACTCAGCTAGAATCTGCCCAGTAAAACCAGTGGCAAGTAATTTTGAATTTATTCTCTTTTTTTTAAACAAAATCATTAAAAATCACTTTATAACTGTTTAGGTTTCAGTGTTATAAATGCACTCAGCTAGAATCTGCCCAGTAAAACCAGTGGCAGAAGAACCCACCATACTTTAATGGATAAAAAACAGCAACAAACTTTATCATGTCTGGTTTTCCTTATATATAATAATGAAGTGTGGATGTTTTGGTAACATGTTACCTTGAAGACAGATTTCCACACCAAGGCTGTAACTAGTAGAATCTTCTTCTCATTATCCCTTCTAGTTAATTTGACTACACCACATATTTAAGTTAAGAAAAAAGCAGCAAAAAAACAGCAACAAACTTTATCATGTCTGGTTTTCCTTATATATAATAATGAAGTGTGGATGTTTTGGTAACATGTTACCTTGAAGACAGATTTCCACACCAAGGCTGTAACTAGTAGAATCTTCTTCTCATTATCCCTTCTAGTTAATTTGACTACACCACATATTTAAGTTAAGAAAAAAGCAGCAAAAGTCTCTTCATTAATTGCCCTTCCTGTTCTATGCTAAAATTATGTCACTGGCTGCAAAAAAAGGCAAAGTGTCTCAGAGTTTTCACCATTGCCCTGTAGTGTGTATCTGTGGTCACAAGAGGGCACTTCAATCCTAAACTTCAGTGAGGACGTGCATCCATAGAATGGTTGACAGTAACTTGGACCAGACTGTGTCATCTCACCTTTGCCTCCTTAGCACATCTGCAACAAATCAGGGGTGTGGTTTCTCATCTGAACTCTCTGCCCTACGGTCTGTGATGTGCATAGAAACTATTCAGCAGACCTGTACTGAGGAAGCTGTGGGATCTCCTGCAGTACTGCTCAAAGACTCAGGCACTACCTTTTCCTAGTATGTTCTAGTGAAATTATTGGGGTTGTTTCTAAAAAAAATAAACAATGGAATTTAGTGTGGATATTTACACCAACGAGGCTCCACAGAAGACCACTGACCACTAACCCTGGTAGAAACCCTCACTGTATTTCACAGCAACTCCAAACCCCAAATATTGTTCAGTACTGCTACTTGGCAGCCTATCAAAGCATCCTGCCTGCCTCTGACTTCAGTCCCATCTTCCTTCACCAATGCCTCTTTCACAATCTCTCCTAGAATGGTGACAACTGTTTGACCATACACTGTTATCTCCTCATCTAAGTTCTGCTGAAGTTTCTCCTTTCATGTGGCCCTCTGAAACCCACCAGCATCTTCTTCACTCTTTGAGAATAAAACTCCACATCTCTCTGTATCTACCTGTGGTCTTCAGTTTCTCTTTTGTTTATACCCCACCCTCCCACAACAGAGATAAAAAGACTAATTCAGGCCACAAAAAGCTTCAAGGAATTCCTTACCGAGTAGAGTGAAGACATAGCATTATTCAGGAAGTCATCCTCTTTTTTGGGAGGGTTTACTGTGTTTCCAAACCCCACATAACGATTCTCTTGGCCACTGCCAGCAGAAAAATGAATAAATAGTATCCCTGTTAGCATACACTCATTAAAACCATTAAACATGAAACAGTGACAATTGTTTAACAGAAAATACACCTGGGAAAAAAAAGTCCCAAAGCACCTAGCACCCAAAATACAAAACCACTCACTTCATAAAGGTATTACACCAACAAGGGTCCACAGGGGAGCCCTTGCAAATTATAAAGTCCCCTGCACAAGCTAATGTGCTCTTAATGATCCTCCAGGTTTAACTGATATCAGAAGTCTGAGTAAATCCTAATAAAGTGGTACATGAAAACAGGGAAAAGGAAAGAAAGAGAACAGTGTTAGCTTTATAAATAAATCCTGATAAAGTGATACATGAAAACAGGGAAAAGGAAAGAGAACAGTGTTAGCTTTATAAATACCCCTATTTAACTCAAATCACTATAAAATGATATATACACACTAAAAATTCCCTCGTTTGGAGCCCACCACAGTAATATTTTGAGCTAAAAACTCCTTCTTCAATGCCATTCAAACATTTTTGTTATAAAAATACATTAAGATCTTATCCTTTATCATGTATTCCCAACATCTTTTCACTCATAAGCAAGATACAAGTTTTAAACTAGTGAATCTGGATCACAGTTGTGGAGCTGCAGAGGAACACCCAAGGGCCAGGCACTCAGGACACTACTCAGTGTTGCATTACCCTTGGTAGGAGTTGACATCATCATTCAACCAGTCTTCAAAAGCCTTGTCAGCAGAGGCAGTTGCAGTCTGAGATGATCCAGCAGAACTCCTGGAATGAAAGACTGGTGAATAAACAGCACAGAGCAAAACCCAGCAGCTCAGCATGAGGTGGATCACCACGATGCAGGTGCAGAATTGATCCATTCTTTGGTCTGCCAAGCAGGGGACTCTAAAGCAACCACTAAAATCCACTGGGATACTGAATGACTAAAGCAACAGCAGGGTCAGACACATAGAGAGTGCTGCTTAGACCACAGCTAGCCCCTGAACTGGCCAGGTAGGAAGACCTTGTCTGCTTGATTTACAAGTGCTTGATTCTGTGGTGCAAAGAGTAACAAACACTACATGCAAAAGCAGAAAAGCCAGACTGCTGAGGTCTAATTTTGATGCTCCCATTAGTAACTAGCACCATAAAGGAAAAGGATTGTTCCTGGAGTGCTGCATCCAGCTCTGGAGCCTCCAACACAAGGAGGACATGGACCAGTTGGAACAGGTCCAAAGGAGGCCACAGAAATGATCAGAGGGCTGGAGCACCTCTCCTGTGAGGACAGGCTCAGAGAGCTGGGGCTGTTCAGCCTGGAGAAGAGAAGGATCCAGGGAGATCATTTTGTGGCTTTCCAGTATCTGAAGGGAGCCTACAAGAAAGCTGGGGAGGGACTTTTATAAGGGCTTGTAGTGACAGGATGAGGGATAATAGCTCCATATTGGAAGAGGATAGCTTTAGAGTAGAAATTAGGGAGTTCTTCACTGTCAGGGTGGTGAGACACTGGCCCAGGCTGCCCAGGGAAGCTGTGGATGCTCCATCACTGGAGGTGTTCAAGGCCAGGTTGGATGGGGCTTTGAGCAATCTGCTCTAGTGGGAGGTGTCCCTGCCCACGGCAGGGGGGCTGGAACTAGACAATGTCTGAGGTCACTTCCAACCCCAACCATCCCAGGATTCTGTGGTTCTTCCCTGGCAGTCAGTCATGACCTGGAAGATCACTGCAGTTAGGGCAAGGCTGTGACACACCCAGTGGGATCAACATGGTGACCACTCTCAGGTGCACCACAAGTCAAGATAAAATCAGCATGGCTTGTCCTCTGCTCTTGCCCACTTGCCTCTGCCATGGTTTAAGGTTTAGGTGGAGGAGGTGTGAATATTTACAGAAAGCCAAGCCCTGCTACCTCACATTCCTTAACTTCAGCAGAAGAAATGCTTGTTCTGACAATGCCATCCACAGAATCAAACCTGCAGGCATTCAGACTCCAGGTTTTGACCCTGCTGTAGCTGTATCAGCAGCAGGGAGTGAGGATACACACCGGTGAGTGGAAGAGAGAGATGCTTTAGGCTGAGGTGGGGTCCAGTTCCTGGCAGGAGAAGTTTCAATAGACCACTCCTTGCCTTCAGCTACTGTAGCTACCTAGAAGGGGGAGGAAAATAATTGCCAGTGTTAGGCAAATTAATTTACCATTTTGTTCCATCAAACACAAAGATTTATCACCAATCACTTTGGATAAAACTGGACTGCTGAAATAGCAAACTGGGGCCTGGGCCAGCTTCACTGAGAAACCTGTTGCAGCAATTGGCAGCAGTGAAACCCTGAGCCACCCCAGCTAAATGCAGGAAAGAAAGCTTCTGAAGAAACTCTTACAAGAGTTGGGAAGAAGCACTCTAAGACTTAGCCCTTGCAAGAACCACTGCAGAGGTTCAAAAAGTTGCTACTTCCCCCAGCCTCGTGCTCACAAAGGACTTGGGTATTTTCACATAGCAGGGGCTGAGGACACACACAGCCCCCTGAACTTACCTGATCTCTAAAAAGAGCTGCAGCTTTGCTGTTGTACTTCTCTTGCATTGACCAGCAGGGATCATAGTCATCTTGAGACTCCAAGAACTCTCGAAATTTGCTGTTGCCTCCAGCCTTCATTTTCTCCAGCTCGATGTCCTTCCATTTGTCCATGGTTACAGAACGTACAAAACTGAAAGGCAGTTTTAAAAACAACATTAAAATATCAGGAAATTACCTTTTCCTGATATATGAGCAGAGAAAAACAAAAAAGACAAAACTTATTGCCACCTGTCTCAAAGTTTAGGAGTATAAATATGTTAAAGAACACTCTCTAGGTATAGAAAGATAGATCATCATATGAAATGGTCAGATCCTCACTGAAATCAGCTAAAATTTGCTTATTAAAAGAGACAATCAGCACATGCCAAGTGACAGAAAAATCAGCTTTCTTCAGAAATTTATCTAACCACTATACAAAAGAAATTCTTCCCCATATGTCTTTGCTCTGCAATTTTCTCTTCCTGTGTGTTTTCAGAGTTACTCAGAAGTGACCTGTGAGGACACCTCCTGTCCCACTCCATGCTTCTGTTCCTAACAAGCATCAGAGAGTTTACAACAGCCTACCCTACAACCTGACCTCATTCCAAGGCACTTGAGACTGCAGTTATCATCTCAGCTCTGCTTTGAGTCAGAAATTCTTGCTACTGCTCATTAAACGATATAGAAAAAAAAAGATAAACCACAAAAAAAA